AATCAGATTGAGCATGACTATGAAAAACTTCAATCCAAATTTAAACACCTTAAGCGTCAATTCAAAGAGCTACTTGTGTTTTAAAGTATATTAGTTGGTCTACTTTTGAAAATGCATTTTCATGGCATTGGTATGTCATGGGTGAGAGAGAACTTAAGAAAAAAGTGAAAAGAGGGTGTGTGGTTGCGCAATGAGGTTGTGGGATGACGGGAAATGGAAGTATAGGGAGAAAAAAAGTGCAAACAAGTTACTAGAACAGTGAGGGAAAGATATGGAGGATACGTAGCGGGAAATGGTTTGCAATTGAATTAATGGATTTGATTTAGTTTATAAAGATGAGATATAAGTTAAAATGATTACAAATGTACATTGGCAAAAATATCAGTATGAACTGGATTGTTAATATTTAGGTTACATGCTAAATTTTATGTTCATAAATTTTTGTATTGGCTGGAAATTAATTATATTGTTGAATCAATTTTTCTAAATGCTCATTAAGTGTTTAGAGGCTAAAGGTTGAACTTCTGAAATCATGTTTAAGAGTTAAGATTTAATGTGATGAGAACTTGAAATTGAACTTTTTATTTGTGTTTGATGACTTTAGTTTTTGCAATTGTTATAAATAGTTGTATATACATACATATACAAACCTCTTTCACTCTCTCACATTTGCATACTCTTCCCTCCCCGCCAGCTCTTGATCCAAAGCCCTTTAGGATGGCTTCTTTGTTGATGCAATAAAGTTGTTATTGCATAGGAATACTTTTGACAGTTGATTTCAAAGTGGATTAAATATTTCAACAGCCACAAAACAAAAATGAAAATCCACTTATTTATATAATAAACCACAAGGGTTTTTTAAAATGTCTTACAGTTGTTTTTAATGGTTGAGATCAATCCTAATCAACATCTGACAGTTAAAAGTATAAGTTGAACAAAATGTGTGTTGATGCTAGACCTCTGGTTCTCGTCTACCAGTACCTCTGTCTATCACAAACATCTCTCTCCTCTTAAAAAGTTAGTTTGAATTCCTAGACTTGAACGAGAAGAAGAGCTCTATTGGTTTTGATATAAGTGGATTACCTTAAAAGTTAGTTTCTTTACAACATAATTTGAAGAACGGAAAGAGTCTACTTAGTTTACTATCTCTCTCTCTCTCTCTCCTCTCTCTCATCTCTCTCTCTCTCTCTTTCTCTCTCTCACACACACAACACACAACTCCAACCTCTTGGCAAGTTGACCGAAATAATGGAAATTGTTTTGTGAATTTGTTTAGGGTTTTGTCTTTGGGATTGTGCTTTGTACATAATTTAGTTGTATTTATTGTCTTTTCTTTATGGTTATATTAGCTCTTTGCTGCTTCAAGTCTCAATTTAGTGTACAGTCAGAAGATTGAATATCTTTTTAACTGGTTTTAGCTATGTTGTCGTTCACTTTCCCACATTTATCTGGTAATTTTTTATTCTCTGGATGGTTTGGGGATGGCTTGAACCACATAAAGCACTTGAAAACTCTAATGTTTAGGAGGAATTCGTTTGTAGAAAGCAAAATACAATAATTTGAAAAAATGGGAGAATGATTTGATACAATTGTACTGAGTAATATCCATACAAATAACTAAAATTTGATGGCACTAATTTAGTCATCCATGAGATCTTTTTATGATAGCTATCACTTAAATTTGTTTTCAAGTCTTATGAGTAAAAAGGCAATTTCTCATGTCTCATTCAAACTTAGATCGAATCTTCATTTTGTTTCAATGTGCAACATTTGTATTTTAATTTGTGAAGTGATGATTGGTCCTTTATATCAAAAGTAAAAAACTGATTTTTGCTTGCGGGATTATTTGTTCAGATTCATTTTTTCCTCCCAAATTAGTTTAGTGTTTGTTATGCAATACAGCTATGTGTCATATTATCTCTGTTTTATTTTTTTCTTTTAGTTTCTCAATTTTATTTGTCATGTGTTCTTCATGCATTGTTGGGATATAACAATTGTGGCCTCATCATGTCTTTCAAAGATTAAAGATTTTGTGTTTGGAATTATATAGTAGTAGTGATGACACAAATTTTTGATTTTTTCGTGAATTTTGCAATGAATAGTTTGTGTTTTTTTAGGCTTTTTAATTTATTTTTATTATTTGATCTATTTACAGAGCTTAGATAATTGGAAAAATGGCGAGTTTATCATGCTTGTTCTATGTTTGCTTCACTGTAGTAATTCATTATGTAGATCAAAGTGTTTGCGAAGGTTTCCTAATTCATAATTTAGCTGCTATTGAAATTTGCTCCTGGTTAAACAGGAAGACTTCTATACAAGAGTTATCATTTTATTGTTAGGTTTCACTATGTAAAACCTATGTAAATTCTCTCTTACATTCATGTTTAGAATCTTTGCTCAATACTATTCTTCATATGTTGTTCAGCCAATGATAGGGTCAGAATTAGCTTATCACTGGTATATTCAGAGCTATTAGAGAAGTACATGAATTTTGTGCTGAAAGAAGGGGATTAATTACAAAACAAATTGAAGAAAGAGTAATTTGTTGCTATGACAATGTCAACCAAGCCAAACAAGCCTTTAGTCCCATTGCAAAAAAATTGTGAAACTGCAATTATCACTCTTAAACATGGTTTTGCTGCATTTTTTGTATTGTTCAAATTGAAACCATGAAATCATTGATTCAATATATTATATTAATGCTATTCATGCATTTTTTTTATTTTCTTATCATTTTTATTATTTTGAAAAATCATTGAGTTCATTTTGTTGTCAATTAAGTTGCTTTTGAAGAATCATTTTGTTGATTTCTCATTTTTTGATCTCCTCATAGCTATTGGGTTTTTAAAGCAAATTTAAGCGAGTGCTTTTGTTGCAGGTCGCTGATCCGTATTAGAAACGCTGGATTTAATTATTATTTTTAGTTAGATAGGTGATTGCGCTAAATGTTTTTGCCAATTTACTGTGTAGAAGCAATTTCAACTTCTTATTTGTGAAGTATTAACTAGAGTGATATATCATTTTAAATTGATTTATTAATTGAATTTCGTAGCACGTGTGGTCCGGAAAAATTAATTGACCGTGCTACAGGCACGGGTTATCCTAAGTAATATATATATAGAAGATGTGTAGAATTACTCATAAGGTTTTAAAAAGCGGTCCAACCGTTTATGTAACACGTTACTTAACGGTTTGTGTGTTACCACCACTTGTTACGCTGCTTTTGCAATGTGATTAAAATTCACAGGTGTGTCGCTATACAGCTGTCGTAGCAGTCATAACAGTGCCGTAACAACCGTAACGGCCTATACGCACCGGTTACGTAACAATTCCGAACTACTTCTTTTCGAAAAAAACACAAAAAAAAAAAAACTAAAAATAGGGAAAAGAGGGATAGAGAAAAGAGGAAGATAAAGAGAGAAGATGGAGGAAAAAGGGATAGAGAGAGAGAAGAGAGAAAAATGAAGAATGTTATTGATATTGTTGAAACTGTAAGATTTTGTTATTCTATTCAGCTACTATCTCACAACTAATTTTTGTTTGTGTTGTTATCTATAAATTTGTTTGATAATAATAATAATAATAATTAATAATAATAATAATAAGTGTGATCATTATCTATTTGGCTTGGTTAAAATATGTGTATATACATATTTAGATTCTTATTTATTCTCTTGCTTTTGTCATTGTTTATCTTATATATAATAGTTAGTGATTGATTTTTTTGTATACTATAAAGTCATTAATTATTAAAATAAAATATAAAAAACTCAGTTTATAGTGATTTAAAAATATGAAATATATTGGATCATACTTAAAAATTTACAAAAATTGATCAATATTTATTTTAAACTCAATAAATATGATCATGGAAAAAAAAATATTCTTATCAGTAAGTTTTTTTCAAATTGTACGAAAAATAAAAAAATTCACGATTTCGATTACCGCAACCGTTACACTACAGCCTTTACACCCCGCAGCCGCAATCGCGTCACCATCACCATTGCAGTGACCACAACCGCTTTTCAGAATCTTACTTGTACATAGGTGTGTTTGAAATATGCAGTAGTTATATATAAACAGTTACAAATGATCCATGAAAGTATTTTACTTGGACAATTAGAGAAAAGTAATTTAATAACTGAATCAGTTTCGTCAGTTTTTTTTTCATGTATTACGTGGCCTTGTAGGCTGTTATTCTTTGGGTTTGAAGACACCAAGTATAGTATTTGTTTTATAGATACATATATAAAAAACAACGCCTAATTAGTAATGTACCAAATGATTGTCCTATAACTTGAATTTATAACCTTAAAGTTAGAGTGCTGTTATTAGTACCTACTAAAATTTTTTGGACCCCCCATTTCTTTGGACCCCAACCCTAAATCATAAATTTTAATAATATTTTTTTAGACACCTCACTTATTACCAAATCTTTCCATATTCATAATATTTTCACAATGAAATGCACACCCACCTAATTTTTCATCCCTCTCCTTCCTTGGCTCACTCAATCTTCAAAGTTTGGAGCTTTGGTCCAATATAGAATTCTTGGACCCCAACCCTCCATCACTCTCGTCGCCGTCTCGGCCGTTAACGGAACATTCTGACGACTCCCGTCCTCTCATCATCATCTTCTTCGTTGCTTTTTGTATCTTCGTCATCGCCGAGATCGATCGAAGATATTCCAATTTATACGGGATTTGCATAACGTTTGCAAGATGAGGAAAAACAGAATCATCGTCTGAATTGCCATCAGAATTCTGAATGTAGCCCAAAACAATTTGTTCATCACTGTGTAACCAAAAAAATGTATTTTGTTCATAACTGTTTTGTCGAACAATAATGATCCTGTCAGCACTGTATGTCCGAACAAAATTTGTTCATCACTGTGTAACTTGAAATAACATGAATTAAATCCATTCAAAATATATAACTTAAATCCATTCTAATTCACTATTTTCCATTCTAAGTTAGTTTAACAAATAAAATTATATAATTGACTATCTGCATTAATGTTCGGAACCTATGTATTGAATGAAAGGATTATGTTCAGTATTGTATTACCGAACATAATTCTAACAGTCAGCAAACCAGTACCGAACAGCTCGAACGAAACAAGAATGACTGAAAACGACCGAGAATGTTAATACAAGACAGATAAACTTATTAATGGAACGCCGGTCTCACTAGAATTGTTGTCCTCGTCCTCCGTTACTCTACACAGTAAAATAAGTGATGAAGTATACGTTATACTTGAAGCAAAACTTTCAAGTTCAACAACGTTGATGATGGTGATGAAGATGACACATTCAGGATTTAAGATGATTATGAAAAATAATAGATTTAGGGTTTATATTAGTTGATTAGGAAAACTAATAGGTTTAGGGTTTACAAACATGGAATACGTGTAGTTGGAGTTGGGGGTGGGGATGAGGGTGGAGGTGAGTGTCCAATATTATAAAGTATTAGTTCTTATTAATAGGTGAGTGTTCTATTTAATAATGTCTTTTAATGTAATTTTACTTTAAGGTATAATTGTAATAAAAAAAAAATTATAAAATGAAGGGTCCAAAGGATTTGAGCAGGTGCTAATAGCAGCACTCTAAAGTTATGAAGGTAAGATTTTACCATTGAACCCATGGTCACCCTATATACACACATATATAGTATTGTTAAAGTGTAGTTGCAGCAAGACGTGTGCGTCTCATCTCAAGTGCCCCCAATTTTGCTGTTAGAACCTCTATCTCCACTTGGAGTTTTGCAATTTCCACATCAAGTTCAGCAAGAGTAGGGTTCTCCATAGCTTCAATTCCAACACTTACACCTGCAACAGGGACTGGTTCTTCCACTAGAGAGGAGATCACCTAACAAGAATAAAAGATATAAATTCTAAACAAAAAAATGGTGAATAATAAACACAAGAATAAGTCAAAACTACGATTTCTTTTTTTCCTTTTTTTCCCCACCATTTTTTAAGATTCATATCAACTATTGGATTTCGAAACCAAGAAGTATACAATAAAACTTTTTTTCTGCTCTAAGGATAAATTAATATCATCCTGTCCGACATGAAAATATTCATATATTTCTTTATTTCTTTTTCCTTGGTATGATTAACATTTGAAATTCTATGTAATATGTATGTTACCTCAGTACAGCACCTTCCACAAGTATTATGCTAAAAGTAATGATCATATAACCACAAATACCCTTTAAAATCGGAGATTTTGCTACGTGCTTCCATCATCAAACTTTACTAACCTCTTTATCACTTTTCTCTTTAACAATTTTTGAAGCCAAGGACCATTCTTCCTCCAGCAATGGCAAAATCTGTCAAAAAGGGGGGGAATTTTGAGTCATAACAATCAACTATATAGGCCATTTTCAGGGGAAAAGAAAAGCACTAAAAAATGCAACCTACACCCTTATTCATGTACTATTGCTTCCCATTTTGATGGCTTGTTGCTGGTTTTGTAACTATAAATATTCTTTGATTGCCATTGTTTGTTTAACTGATTCTTGATTAGTGATCTGTTTGCTTTTTGAGCTGATTGGATAGCTTTCTTGTATAGCTTAATTTTTTGTGTGTATGGGTTGGTAACAAGACGTTATCTTTTTATAGGTGTGTAAATTTTGCATATCCTCAATAAAATTCAATCTTAATTATTGAAATAAAATGTACTCTCCCTTCCCATTGCATACCTTGACAACCACATTCCCTAACTCTTTAATGTGCATGTCTCCAAAAAAAGAGCACACCAATCATTCCCCAACCATCCCATTAAGAAATTCTTCCACAGCTGTTCAAATCAAACCTATTTATCATCAAAATTAAATGCTAAATAACAACATGAAGTGTGTAGGAAGGCTTGACAAAATGCTTTTAAGAGCAAGTCTATCCCCTTCCATAAATATTGCCCCTTTCTTCCAACTAACCTCCTCTCCACTACATACTCACCCGTGTCGAATCTGATAGAAATTTGGCTTTAAATAAAGAACTTGCCCAAATAGGAAGAAAAACTTGCTTAGCATTACTCTTTTGCTAGTCCACCTTATATGACACCTGAATTCCTACAATTCCCAAATACAACAATTGTAACACAATGCCTTGCCGCCTGTCCTAAAAAAAATAAAATTTTAAGCCAAATGTTGAGTGAAAGATCAATCGAAAACCGGCATCAATCACAACTATTTCCAACTTCTTCCATGGGAAATGACTTCATAATTCCAATTTGATGCAACCATAGAACACACATATTGATGCATTCATTGAAGAAATGGGTAAAAGATAGGCATATACCTCAGAGATGAGGCACTTAATGTGGAATGTGAGCAACAAAGTGGCATTCCGGTTCCGCACAATAATAACTGCGATCATACAAATTCCTTCTCTCCTCAAAAGCATCACAGTAGAACTCCGAATCATCATCTTCATCCGAATAGTCCTTGATTGGAGAATCAGTAATGGTAAGATAATGTCTGTGGCTTACGTGTTTGACGAAATGCGACAATGAAGGAAAACAATCAAGGTGGAGACTAAAATCACACTCTACGCAACGAAAACAAGGCCTATTGTTAGAATTCACACTCACCTACTACACTCCACCTACCACCTCCAC